AAAGCATGCACTTGTTTGCATTTGAGGGTTCAAGCCTACATGTTAACAATAAATGTCCAAACAAATGCAAACAAGGTGAATTCTAACAGAATTAAACAATTGAAGTGAATGTGTTATCAATGGACTGACCTGTAATGATAAGTTGTAAATAGGTGTGGTGGCTGTGTACATGCAATTGGAACCAAAACTATCAGTTATGACGTAGATAGATAGATACGGGTAACTACGTGAGGCAGTGTATGAAATCATAGCAAAGAAGTAGAAATGATTTGTGTTGTGGTCAGGTAGTTGTTGTTTTGTATTTGTACTATAGTTCATGGAATTGATTTGGGAGGCGGATTACTAGACTTGTTATGCTCATGTTGATAAAATAAACTTTTATATAAATTCACACAACTACAAAGTTTCAATTATTACAGATTACACTCATGTTGATAATTTCAGGATCTCTTATATTTATAGTCACATCAAAGTGCATACTGGTTGTTTAACAGTGATTATATTACCGGTAGTACTGAATTACTGTAATAGAATAGGTCACAAACGACTGTCATGGTTTTCTTAATATTGAATATGGTTTCAATAATAAACAGATATGACAATAATAAACAGATCATCAGAGAAATTAAATTCAATATTTAAATCTGACTTATTTGTATAAATGTATGTACTACTGGGTCAGTACAATATTTTAGTATTGTTTAGTTTCATTCATAACCTGGAGGTAATCATGTTTAGTGACATGGAATAAATAGAGTCCCCCATTAGGGCAATGAATTAGCTAATTGATGAACCAAATAGTATACATGTATTGTTATAAAAGTCAAAATTTTTTGTCAAGCAGAAAGTAATGGAAACTCGTAATAATTGGGGTATAACAGCAAGAATGGAGACATGGGACAAGTCAGCTACAGAGAAATTCTACTTGAAAACTTGTAGGCATTTCCTCAACAACAACAAAACACTGAAGTGCTATTGGGTGCAGACTCAAAACCAGACGACTACCATTAATTGCAAAAATTCAGTACCAGGCAATAAAATACTATCAACGGATACAAAACAATCACATACCATGCTATAAAGGATATGGAACAACATTGCTACAAAAACACCTGTTTAGAAAATCTTTTGTAGATCAAAACAAATACTAATTTGACATCAAATCAATACACAAAAATGTGTTCCAAAACAAAACAAAACAAAAGAATATTATCATAACCTGTGGATCAATGACATTAACAGATCAGATTCCAAACTCAGAACATACAGTCTTTACATGTATTTACATTTACTTGATGAAAAAAAAATGGTATTAAATTATTATCTCAACTCTGACTCAGTAGTCTTGAAATAGAACTGGGTAGACATAAAAGCCCCAAAACTCCAATTTAACCTCTTGTGTCATTTAGAGAGAAAAAACGGGAGAAATTATACATTATATTTTGAATTCAGCAATAATCTTCTGGATTTGAATAGTACTGATAGCACAAACACATTTATTTACCATCATGAATACTAATTCATTTACTTAGACATGTTATTACATTTCTGCAACTTTCACTTGCCAAACCCAGTAGCTTATTTTATTTTTAACTTTTATTTTATTTAGTTTTGCTCTTATTTTTGTTTGAAGTATTCCTTTATTACTTTTGTGCCAGAGTTGAAGTTAACATTGTTTTTCATTATGGTGTAATAAAGGTTATTATTATACATCTGTCACTGTAACGCCATAAGTTGCATCGTGCCGTAATTTTGCGATATTGCACTGGGTATTTTTATCCTACCATATTAGGAAATGCGAATTCCAAATATGGAACGATTATGCATGTGAATGTCCTCTAATAATAAAAACAAACTTGGCAGCCCCCAGGGTTTGACCAGACTCCACACAAAGAAGTTCGCTGATTCTGTTCTAAACTTTTTGCATTTTGGCATTCCTATAACGTATCCTTGGGAGAAAAAGATGTATAATAATAAGGTTATTACAAGGATACCGCTGGCTGCGCGTCTGTCGATACTCCTGTTGTACTGCCTTTGTGCATACTTTTCGGTATCCTCGTAATAACCTCATATCATAACAAATAATACTGGATACTGCAAGTAGCTGCTGTTGCATTTTGAAGACTTGGGGCACCGTGTTGAGAGACCGTGCTTGGGGTCACAATTGCAGAGATAATCATTAATATCTTCTCAATTTCAAGTTCCAAACAACTAAACATACAAATCATTTACTGCAAGTCTCAGAAGTATTGGAGCAGTCAATTTGCAAACTCGCTAGCGAATTGACTAACTGCTCTGGATTGTTTTTTTAATCGTGCTGGTGCTGACTTGTGGTTACGACCACTA